TTGGCATGAGGTAAAAGTCGTGTAGGTTTACCATCTCCTTTTATTGCTCTGATCTTGAACACTTTTACCTTACTACGTCATTTCCGTCATCATCTGTTGCGGTGGACAGCAAACGGAAGTGCTGTCTCGAAGCCGTAAATTTCGGTCGCCGAAAATGAATTTGAATTCTTTTTTATGCCATTTTCGTACAGTATTTCGCAAATACATAAGAATTCTAGATCAGGTTAGTCAAATCAGGCAATTTCATTGAATTTCATTTGAGTTTCAAAGATTCGAAAATCGGCCCAAGATTTGTTTCCTCGACATTTATCATCGCCTTGACAATAATATTAATGATGTACGAAATATCAAGTTGTTCCTTACGATTAAGTATCCAGCATCATGAAAAAAGGAAAAGAATCAGGCTGTCGAACACGAGAGGTGAATTAACGACGATTTGCTTGTTGTTTTTTACCTCATCATCGAAGTTCTGCTCATGAACATTCTTCCTTGTTTCAACATCTGATGTATTCACTTCTTTCAAAGTTATCAACGCTTTCAAGCGACAGAATTCGTTGAACGAACCATTCCGAAAACGCTCGACATCTTTTAGTGTGGGTCTACCACGAATGGTGTGTGGATTTGTAAGCGACATCACCGTATAATCCATTAATCTTTCCAAATTTTTCGTCTCAAAACATAACATTCGGACAATTGCGCGTTGTTTTTTGAAGCGTTCACTGAGATTGAGAGCATCGTGTCGATTTTCATCCCCAGATTCTGCGCTACCATGACCCGGAACACGTCTTTACAGCACCATTCTTCTGCACTAACCTATATAAATATAAACACAAATGCAGCAAATCACTGAGAATATTGGATTATGGCCTGTGGGGTAACGCCATAACGCCACTTTATTAAAGAAAATGCAAACAACTAGTACAAAATAGAAATGAAAACGTAAAATAGAGTAAGCCGTACCAGGGGGCCAGAAAAAACCTAACCTAAAAAACCCCGTGGGTAAAAAGGGATAGGAAATCTGGGGCGGGCCAGGCACGACTCAAGTTCCCCGCCAAGACTACTAATAAACTAAATAATTGTAATAAACAAACGAAAACTAAATAGCAATAGTTTGAGCAACTTTTAAGCGATCACTAACGGTGTGCTTAACGTATCTGTTCTTTGAAGTGGCACATTTCCAGCCAGCATGCATATCTAGCAGATCAGCGGAAACACTCCGACAAGCAGGATTTGAGGCGGCACCAGACTTAATACTGTGCGTGCCTTAAAGAGCAATGTCACCTACAAATGGTTTAACAAATTTCTTAAATTCATCTCTTAGCGTTGAATATGAAACTCCTCTAGAAGCATGAAAACACTCCCTAGTTTTAACGATTTGCCTAACGAGGGGCGACGATGACTCACAAGTTGAAGGGAAAAGCTTAAGTAACCTTTCGGTGATAGAAACTGGGCAAGTAGCCTTATGAGACCTAGCTAGAAAGGACGTATGCTCTTTTCTATACTGATCATTTTTGCGTTTAGAAATAAAAACTGATATGTACTCGTTGAAAATAGAGACATCTCTAACTGTCAAATTGCGAATTTCGTCCACACGAAAAAAAAACCAGCAAAGCCAACCAAGAGGACGAAAAGAAAACGAATAACGGCAAGCGAACTACTAGAAATATAATATTCAGCGATCCTTAAAACTGTGTCAACGGATAAAGGCTCTTTGGGTTGAACAGGACGAGGAAGCTTCCTTCTTGCACCCTCCAAGGACGACTTAACAAGGGGGTGATCAGTAGGGCATTCTACAATACCGGCCAGACTATGAACCCACTTAATACCATAAACAACTGACTCTATAGGGGATATCCCCGTATTATTAGAAATAGAAACAGCAGTAAGCTCGCTGATAAAGAGAGCAATGTGCAGTGGCTTCGCTGGAATAACTGAAACGCCAATCTTAGAATCTGCCCATTCACGCCATCTGATCCAGCCAGATCTATACTTCTGCACGGTAGAGGGAGCCTTGGACTCAAACTGTAAATTGAGATGGTCTGGAACAAGCTTGCGCAAGGATGGATCGGCCAAAGAATTCGCTTCACTCCAAATCCCGGATTGGAGAACATCTAAAAAATAAAATAAAAGTAGGCAGGAAAAGGCAAAACATTTAAAATTATAATACAGTAGAAAATATGATGCTGCTTCATAATCATGCAGCACGGACAGTACTACAGCGTAAAAACGACATGTAATGAGAAACAACGACAAACGGAAGCCGAACTGGTAGGGGCCAGTAATGCTGTAAAAAACAGTAAAAAATACAACAAAGTAGCAAACATTCAATAAAACAAATGTAGACCAATAAAATAAAACATAAGATAAGGCCAACTGACGGCGCCAAAACAGGCAAACTGCGTGGTGAAGCGGACATCGAACTCAAAGCCAAGAAGACGCTGCCAAACCAGGCAAAAAATACACCGCCAAATCAGGCAAAAATACGCTGCCAAAACAGGCAAAACAAAGCTGCCAAATCAGGCAAAAATACACTGCCAAAGATAAACCTAAAACACCGACAAAAATGAGCTGTAAGGGGAGACAAAAATGGGAAAGCTCACCTAAAATCTATCCGCAAAGCCAACATTTTAAATTTCGGGCAGCCGCTGAACACCGACGGACGCGCTTTGTAAATCTGCTTCTGTCCTGGACCCTCCAGCAAGAGGTCTTCAATACAAGGAAGCTCAAACACTTCTCTAACAAAAGACTTGAACTGGGAGGCGTTGTCGTGCAAAAAAGGCCAAAAATAGGCCGAAGGCCATTGTGGAACGATCAAAGTGACGTAACCGGAGCAGGACGAGAGAGCCCTAACTGAAGGCACAATGGCACCCACCGGAGGGCAAACCCAGTTATTCTCATGTCGCCAATCCTGAGCCAAGGCGTCCACACCGCTGCAACCTGGGGAAGCAAATTTAGAGTTGAACCTCGGAAGCTGGGCATTGTAATAGGACGAAAAGCGATCAATTGTGTGAGGGCGCCATTTAGCGTCGACAAGTCGAAATACCGAGGGATTGATGGACCAGTCGTCTTTATCAATAAATCTGCTAAGAAGATCTGCTCTTTCATTAAGAGACCTAGGGATCCACTGGGCTTCGAGAACGATGCTGTTGGCAAGACAAAGATGGAAAATATCCATAGACAGGGCCTGGAGGTGAGATTTGGAGCTTCCGATAGCAACTATTCTGGCGGCAGCCTGATTATCAGTGAAGATTTTAACTCTCTTGTGTTTCAGTTGAGCCACGTAAGAAAGCAACACGTAAAAAATCGCTTTCAGCTCGCGAAACGTAGAGCTTTGGCCGATATCCTCGCTCTCCCACATGCCGCTAACGACGGAGCCGTCTAAAGTAGCCGAAAATCCTCTGAACGCTACGTCGCTAGCATCGGAAAATACAACGGTATGCGTAGCTAACGGTGGCCTAACAGAATAGCTGTTTAAGCAGTCGATGTTGCAATACCAAAATTTCAGTTCTTGTAAAAGGCTCGGAGGAAAATGAATTATGTCATCCCAAGCCGATCTGGTTTCAATGGCGAAGTACATTTTTCTGGTCAAAAGACGAGAATTTGGACCAACAGCTAACGCAGCTGAAATGATAGTGCCTGCTGTTCTCGCTAACTCGCGAAATGAAGAGAATCCATACTGAATCGCAGAATCTAGCAAGCCTTTAAGCTTGAGAACTTTCTTCTCGGGAATCCGGAAACACATTAAAATAGTATCAATAACGAAGCCTAGCCATTCGCCAATTTGAACTGGATCCCAGTGAGACTTTTCCTCGTTACAAAGAAGACCAGATGAAGAGAGCTCTTTACGTTGAATTAAGCTAGCTGCCACGGCAGAACATTTGTCTGGTCGAATCCCGAAACCATCGTCCAAATAAATGAAACTGTTGTGTCCCATAGAACGCCAACGCCTAACTAACCGGCGCATTAACTTGGTAAAACAAAAGCAAGCACTACTTAACCCGAAAGGCAGTACTGTAAGGGAAAAATATCTGACGACGCCAGAAAAAGGCCACGCGAAACCAAGGCACTTTTGGTGGTCGAGACAAATATCGACATGGTGGTAACCGGACTTAAGGTCCCAAGAGAAAAATCAGTGTCCCTCATCGAGAACTTGAGAAAGCGATCGTAAGTCCTCGTACTTGAATATAGGTTTTACTAAATAATTGTTTACGTGTCTCAGATCGATAACCAGGCGAGGCTTCTTCCCAACAGCGACTGTCAAAGGATTAACACAATACGGGGGGAATTCGTGCTCAACAATGTAGCCATTACTTAAAAGCTCGCTAATAGCATCAGCGACAAATTCCGGATGCTGAAGAGCTGATCTATTGTTCTTCAAAAAGCACTGCGAGGGGTACTCGGCAAACGGCAATCTGTAACCGCGCCTAATCATATCGAGGACAAAATCTGGTGCATCTGAAGTCTCGACCCAAAAGTTAAACGAAGATTGCGAGCGACCTTTCACGCCACTGCTTCCGCCTTTCGCACTAAACTCGTCGCCACAACAAGACAATAAATGAATTAAATCACACTCAACTTCATCACAGGTCGACGAGTTGCCGTCTAGTCAATCGCGTCGAGAGCTACTCTTCGAAGAATCCGCAGGCTTCAAGCACGTGGAACTCAAATGACCAAAATCCCCGCACTGAAAAAAGGGGAACACATACAGAAAAACATGAAAATAAAATCCATAACATAAAAATAAAAGAACAGTGTTGTAGCGTGTGGCGTTGCAGACCCGAAGGAAGAACATACTGACTGACAACAACTTATACATGAAACGCAATTAACACGTATTACGTAACTACTGAACACTTCATTGAAAAACACAATGAAAATACCAAATTCAGAACGTGCAGAAAACAAATATCTGCTAAACTTCGTACCGCAGATATTTTGATATTCTGCACTAACCTATATAAATATAAACACAAATGCAGCAAATCACTGAGAATATTGGATTATGGTCTGTGGGGTAACGCCATAATCGACGAAGAAAGAAACAAAGATAATAAAGCGAAAAAGTGCTGGGTACTTATCTTAAAACAGGGGCCCAAACGACGCGCTGGTCTAGCCTGCGGGCGTGAAACCAAATCGCTGGATGCGTATCTTGACGAAGTCGCCCGAGAAGTAGAGGCGGAGCCACTCCCTTTGTCGCCAGAACGGGCACGACGACGTTTTTCCTTAGTGACCTTTCTCTCAGCTCTCCTCTCGGCCCGGTAAATTCTCTTCTCATCATCTGAGTCAGAGGCGAGTTCGTCGGATAGATACTCATTGACCGTCGCCCATCCAAACTCGCTCTTGTCGGCTAGCTTTATTGCTTTAACACGCTTGGACACTAATTCCGTACCTGACTCCAAAGCAGCCTTAGCTTTTTCATAAGATTTGTGCTTCAGTGCGTCGGAAGCTTCGTCTAGCTTGTCCAGCAC